GAATCAGACGTTGTAGAAGACCCTTGGCCACCAAACTGCGTGTCTGACGTGAAAGATTATCAATTCGTAGGCTCGCAGTGGACAAGTCACAACGAAGTCCCTTGCGTTCCGTGGATATCTAAAGAAGTAATTAAAAAACGTGGCAACTGATTAAAATTTATAGTGTAATCAAATTAAATTGATCTATACTGATAAGGTTCCGGGAGAAGAGAAGAACGATGAAAAATTTGTCGATGGATCTGCTTTAAAAGCGCTTAATAAATGTAGAAATCCCACTCACGATCCCGACGGTCCCTATTGCTACGGATATACCCCTTGGCAAACTGAGACCGTTACGAAACGCTATTGTACGATTCGCCCGTGTAGATCATCGGGTAATTAATTATACAGAAAAGTGACAAAATGAAGACTTTGGTAAAAATTCTATTCAAGGCCCACATTTTTCTAGAATGTAAAATGGCTGGTACTGCGAATGATTACGTAGGTAAGCTTTCGAAAACGCGATCCGGACGTGTCTGCGACAAATGGCCTCTCTCATCTGAAGAAATGGCGTCGAAACTTACGCCACCCAAACCTACAGCACCCAAGCCTGCGAGATCGGCATTTATGTCACCAACATTCGAAACGATTCACGAGAATCAGTTGCAAAGATACTTCTATGGACCGCATTATTTCGCATTTCCTACGCCCGTCGAACATATGAAAGCTCGTTCCGTCCCGTGGAAACCGAAGGGAATAGGAGGTTCCAAGCAGATCTCTGGTCGAGAGACCTTTAACAGCAGCATGTATCCTGAAGGAAGTGCCACGAACGCGAGCAATTATTGTAGAAATCCATCACGCAACATAGCTGGCTCTTGGTGCTACACCACAGACCCGTTGTTACCTCGGGATCTTTGCAATGTCAAAGACTGCGAAAAGCCGGGTACAGTTCATATTACTATTAAACTTCCGTCTGCTATCTTATTTGCTACTGCATACTGGCTCGTTTAATTTCAGGCATATTTTTTTTTAGATTGATAGTTTAATTATTAATTATATATTAATAGTAAAATTATAAATTAATAATTATTGTAGATTGATAGTTTAATTATTATATTTTTAATAGAATCAGACGTTGTAGAAGACCCTTGGCCACCAAACTGCGTGTCTGACGTGAAAGATTATCAATTCGTAGGCTCGCAGTGGACAAGTCACAACGAAGTCCCTTGCGTTCCGTGGATATCTAAAGAAGTAATTAAAAAACGTGGCAACTGATTAAAATTTATAGTGTAATCAAATTAAATTGATCTATACTGATAAGGTTCCGGGAGAAGAGAAGAACGATGAAAAATTTGTCGATGGATCTGCTTTAAAAGCGCTTAATAAATGTAGAAATCCCACTCACGATCCCGACGGTCCCTATTGCTACGGATATACCCCTTGGCAAACTGAGACCGTTACGAAACGCTATTGTACGATTCGCCCGTGTAGATCATCGGGTAATTAATTATACAGAAAAGTGACAAAATGAAGACTTTGGTAAAAATTCTATTCAAGGCCCACATTTTTCTAGAATGTAAAATGGCTGGTACTGCGAATGATTACGTAGGTAAGCTTTCGAAAACGCGATCCGGACGTGTCTGCGACAAATGGCCTCTCTCATCTGAAGAAATG